CGTTCTCCTTGATCCATTAATGGTGAAAGCGTTCACTGCATTCATAATGTTCTGATACTCCCGCATGCAAGCCATCTTTTCATTCACAGTATTCACCCGTCGAATCATCTCGTCGACACGCCTATCTCCTTCAAACAAACAACAGAAATAAATTAGGCACTGTTTATGGATATGAAGACTAACTTTAACTACTAACCACTGCCTATTTGAAACATCAGTTCCTTCGTATCACGAACGATACATTCAATCTCGGCATTAGCCATGATGCTGAGATGAATCTCGGAACAATATCTTAATATGACATGTAGAGATGTTAATGCGATGTGTTGATATGATATGACAATACATCGTGGTGTGCCACTACTACCTTCTTACCGTATTTATGGCTTAACATGGCTACAAATACGGTAAGAAGGTAGTAATGGCACACCACGATATATTGTCATATCATATCAACACATCGCATTAACATCTCTACATGTCATATTAAGATATTGTTCCGAGATTCATCTCAGCATCATGGCTAATGCCGAGATTGAATGTATCGTTCGTGATACGAAGGAACTGATGTTTCAAATAGGCAGTGGTTAGTAGTTTAAATTAGTCTTCATATTCATAAAAAATGCCTAATTTATTTCTGTTTTTTGTTTGAAGGAGATAGGCGTGTCGACGAGATGATTCGACGGGTGAATACTGTGAATGAAAAGATGGCTTGCATGCGGGAGTATCAGAACATTATGAATGCAGTAAACGCTTTCACCATTAATGGATCACGGAGAACGGTGCTCTTGGAAGAGTTGCAAAGAGAGAACAGGCAAATTTTAGCCTATCACGTAAGTTGGTTTAGTTCATATTGTTCTTGTAGTGTAACTGCTAACTGAGCATTTAAATAATCTTTTTCTCAAATAAAAAGCCCCACTGGGTACTACTCGGGAAGAGGGCATACGGACGTGCAATAGACAGAAATTCCATTTTTGCAATGGGAGGAAATTTTCCTGGATGCGTGAACAATTTCGCTTCCGGCTTTCACACGCACCCTGCTCGTCCCTCCGTTACAAAATAAAACTGAATAAATCAAGGCGATATGAACTGTCGCACCCATGTCCCCTACCACCCCCCCCCCTTTTACTGGATGAAACCCACCCCACTTTCTAGCACAAATCATCCTGCTGTATATAATTCGCCAACTGTATCTGTTAGTGTGTGTATGGAGGAAAATTTGTTATGGTGCAGTAATACTTTGTACTGCCTTGCACTTTTGCAGTTCGTGTGTGAAGTAGATGCGTGTCGACCATGCGATCTCACGATCAATTCGTATCTACCTCACACTCGGACTTCAAGACGGTCGCGAAGCATGACCGCACCCCGATGTGCGCCGCAGCGGTGATGGGGAGCTGGTTTATACATGCTATGGGGCTGAGACAGCGACATGGGTGGTTATGACAAAAAGTTATAGCAGCTGGTAAAAGCTGATAAGGAGCGTTAGTGAGCAATGGTTGGCAACTTATTTACACCATGTACGTAAAATTACTTCATGATGTTCCACTCATGGATTGCTCCATTCAGGAGGAGAATCGTAATCTTCGAGAAGCCATCGATGAATCGATGGAGACCCTTGCCAAAGTGATGGCTCGACACCGTATGGTAATGGCTAGAATGAATAGGTGAATCTACAACCTCTCCTCCCTTCAATTCCGATTTCTGACTGTTCCGCCATTTAGGTTATCGAAGCAGCCATCTTTCAAGGATGTCACTGGCATATTTCCAGATGAATGCGATAATTCCACGAAAGACAAAGAACGATTCAGGTGAACTTTTTTTACCATTGATCATTTTTTCATCAAGAATTTTATTGCGTTTTCTATTTAGAAAACTTGTTACTGAAACGTCAAGCTTCATGAAAGTGTGTGAAGACTCGACGTCCAATGATTTGCAGAAATTGTCCCAACTACTACAGGAAAATCAAGTATTGCGGTAGGAATTCAGGATTTTCATCATACTATACCTCCAAAATCATGTACTGCAGCTTATTAATCATGGCATAAATGGGAGGTTGGGGGTACGGACGATAAGGCTGAAGTCATGTTCGTGGTTCCATCTGATCGCTGCAGTCAGCTCATCATAATCATTCCGTTTGAGTGCAGACTCATTTTTCAACTTTATAGGTGTGTGACCCATCCCTTGGAAGGGAGCCGGTTTTTGAAAAGATCATTAACTTGAAACTGTAGGAGAGGTTGTGAGACTACATTTAGCTTTGAATTTAGTAGGAGTCTTTAACGATTCAAGGGTTATATGAAAGCCCCTTAGGTAGTAGCTGAAACGAGATAAAGAACTAGTAATCAGCGTAGGTATAGTTTCATTTCTGAACTGAAATGAAAATGCGCAGGTGCGTTCCGAAATTTCATGTTTGGGTTAGTATTAAGGTGACTGTCTTTTGCCACTGGTATAACAAGCGTCCGTTTGCACTATTCGAACGATGGGGTCGCCTTTCGATATCAGGAAGTGGGGTCGCGCAAGGCTAAGTTTCTCGGTGATCCGATGGGGTTGTAAATTTTGCGACGAGTTGGGCGAAAGTCTCGTGAAATTAGGAGATGAAGTAGACAAAATTAGTGGAGGAGAAAGTAGGCGGAGCTGGGTATGTCGACTGGTCTCAGAATCAAATACCACAGAAACAATAGAAACAGTTATGATTATGATGGTGAGGGTGACGGTCGGGGTGGTCTTAAGGGGTCGCATCGAGAGCTCCCGAAGGGGAGTCGCAAAATTTTTGTAAAAGTGCGAACGCGACGGCTGACCCTGGGTGGAGGTTGCTTAACGAGGGTCCCCTAGTTCGCTTTCAGACTTTGCGCTGGTGTGGACTGTGCGGACATTGTTGATGGTGTGGAAAAAGCGAAGAGCATCTGTATAGAGTGTTGCGTGATGGAAGAGGCTGGCGCTTGGTTGGAGGTTGGAGAGCAGGATGCCCAGCTAACCCGGCTGTTGCTAAACATCATGTGTCAGCGACAGCCGGAAGTGTGCTAAATATCATGCGCCAGCATTCTGTACTGACGACTTTCGCGATTTCCGTACTGTCCGCACTGACCGCACATTCCACACCGCCGAAAAGTATAAAGCAACCTGAACTACAGTGTTTTTTCTTACCTATTATACTTCCAATGCGCAGATAATGCACAAGGCTGAGTTTCCGTATCAGTGTTAGGGACGTAACTTCACTTAATCAAACTTAGGGAAGCTTATGTGCTATGCTCTTAAAAATTTTTTGTTCATTTTTGAGGAGGCTCAGAGGCCGCACCAGTTCACTATCAATTTTATTTCAGCATTAGATGAGTGAGTAGTGCTACAAGAAAAGCTAGGCTAGGTAACATTTGGAATGCGCTAATTGTTACTTGACTGAAAAAAGTTACACATCGTTTAAGGGAGATGCTATCGACGGCGGCGATCTCGACCCCTGGCGTAAAACACGTATTCGCGCAAGCAATGAGCGAATTAAAGCCGAAGATGACGAATGGTATCGTCTCTGACTTGGGCAGTGGTAGTGACACTGACGATGGACTAAATGAAACCGCCATTGAGGTATGGATTGAACTGAAATTTTGCTGTTATCCATGTTGTCTGGGACCGTATGAAGCAGCGTTTGGCTGGGAATGGGTCCCTAAGCTCTGCGTTTCTGTTCCAGTCGACGACGCAGTCCTCATGATCACGAATAGGGGGATGTGTCCTGAGATGCAGTTTTGGAGAGCCGTTCTCAGCCGGGTACTGCTGCTCACGTCCTCTGGTTTGAAATTCTGACAAAACATTTCGCCACTTGAGGGCTGAATCGAGGTAGTATCCGATCTCAAGGTGTGGAGCTGAAATCTGTATGGACGATGGTTTGAACGGGTCAGCTAAATGAGATGCAACTTAAAATGGATCACCGAAATGAATCCCCTCCAATTTTCTGATTCTTATAGCTTTACAGTCGACTCTTAATGTGGAGAACTGACCAGTAAGAATCTTAACCTTTGTTGAGAAATTCTGAAGTCCTAAAAATCCTTGAAAATTCAAACAGTGGTTAATTACCTGGCTTCTTATTTTTTAAGTTATGTTTGTAGATCTTGGATATTTTGGCCATGAATATCCTTTACACATTTACTCTTAAAATTAGTAGTTAATTGGATTTTTTTTCAGAGGAAAGGCGGACGAGACTGATCTCCAGCTGTTTTGTACATTGATGTACATACCAATAAATGATTATTTTCTTCAACAGTGTTTTTTTTTATTTCGTTTGTTTGTTTCTCTCGAAACTGTTATCATAATGTTCCAGAGATTCAGATTGCCCGAGTAGAAAATGCTCGGCTGTATTATTTTTGTTTCTCGTTTGACGCGTGTGATTGACGGCAGTGATTCATTGCTGGGAAATCGCGCACGACGCAAAGTTTCCAAATAAAATTATTGAACGTTAGCAAATGTAGGAACGAAAGAGCTACTGCCGAAATGTATCTTTCGTAAAGGGAGGTAGGCACCCCAGTGGAGCGGGACCAGGCCCATTTTGCTGCCAAGGTGCATCAGCATCGAAAACAAACGTCGCGTTTGTGGTGAAAACGCTGAATAACTCGGTGTGGAATTCTAGCAAAGTTGTTTTCGAGTTCTTGGGTTCTACAGTGGGATAGGGCGCATGCATAGTCGGTCGTCCGACAGCAACGATCGTAACTGTCGCACAGCATTAGATGCGTATCGATCGTCGAATACTCAGGCAAGTCCGACGATCGATACGCATCCAATGCTGTGCGACAGTTACGATCGTTGCTGTCGTCCGACCGACTATGCATGCGCCCATAGTGATCGTGCCGAATAAATTCTGCAGATGCAAAACTAATTGAATGGGGCACCTTGGTTTAACGACTCACGGTAAGCACGAAGCTTAGGAGGACGAAACTTGGTAAAAATAAAAGCCGCTCACGCACTACTATTTTGACCACCTAACGACACAAATT